CCTCGTCTGGTCCTGCCTCGTCTGGTCCTGCCTCGTCTGGTCCTGCCTCGTCTGGTCCTGCTATTGCCACGCCACCACCTCGTCCACGCCTGCTATTGCCACGCCACCACCTCGTCCACGCCTAGCACAGCTGGCTTTTCCACGGTCATCTCCTCGACATCACCGGCCACTTTCCAGGCCTCTGGCTGGGCGTCATGGCCATTGTGGGCGGCCCCCGGACCTGCTCCATCGCCGCCACTGCCGTCCGCACGGCTGGCCCCCTGAACCATTTGATCATGAACTCCTGTGCCGTCGGCCTCTAACGAACTATAGATTTCTGGACCATCACCCTCCGGGTCGCCCCCCTGAGGGGTTATGAACTGTTCCCTGCATTCCTGTGCCTTTGATGGACACATCAAACACACATTTTGGACACATTTTTGTTTTTGTGCTTGGTCTCTGCACCTCCTGTGGGGGCATGGCTGACTTTTTTCAGGATTTTTTTTTTTCTACAATGTTTCACTTTAACTTAGGGATATCGTGAAAGGCTCACCCGAAAAAAGCATATTTGATATAAGTCACATAATACTGCAGCTTAATTCTGCCTGTCCTATAACAGAAGACACAAAATTTGCTTGAACACCACAAACAAATCTCACCTTGGATTCTTGAACTTTTTGGAGAATAATTTCATGTTCTTCCTCACCCATATCAAAAACCTTTAAGGAGGAGAGTGTCAGTCAAAAAAGACCTTTTAACCATATCTGAATTAGAGTTTCTTGGTAGCAAGATTAAAACCTACAAAATAGATAACAGAGTTACTGCTTAAATCTAACAAACCATCTCAGAAATATAAAAAACATAATTCGGTCAAAGTCCTTGGCAGAAGCTAACCTTCTGTTAAAACAAGAAAGCCAGAAAAAGATGCCCACTTCAGAAAAAAACAAAAGGAGACTACGATTCATAGCATGACATCATCTGAATGAATGTAATATAACAGCTGAATATCAGTACACAGTGTGACTGGGCTTTGATGTTTAATCAGTTTTGAGCCAAGAGCATCTGCTCTGATTCTTACAGCCCGCTCACAACAAATAACGCTCTCTCTGAGGCTACCATCAGTGTTACTGACAGAGATTTAATGAAGCTCAAGAAATACAGTCTGCTCTTCTCATGTGTCCACGAGACAGAGAAAAAGACGGACGGACGGACAGACAGACAGACAGACAAATAGATACCTTCAGCAGGTAAGCAAATAGCTCATCGTCACTTTTCACATGTTCGGGTGAGGGCACTCCAACCCTGTTGACCACCGTGTACACAGCTTCCTCATAAAGCAGGTCCAGCTACATGAAAACACACTCCAGTTAATAACAACCTTTCAAAAATAAAAAGCTCGTGTTCTTTTGCCCTTATGCGTTCTGCTCCACTGCACATCAAAAGCAGGAATAAAAAGCCTCAACTGTGTTGTTATTGTGAGTTTTGAGATTTAATCCCTGCTGAAAAAAGATGAAAACAGAGAAGCTGAGCTCACGCACCTCTGTCCTGCTGATTCTGTCGGGGATAAAGGCCTGGTCCACATGCTCTTGGGGTGGTGGAACTGTGCAGGCCCCTCTTTGGCACTGCGAGAGGACAAAACCAGTTCAGCCAAAATAAAATTGGCCTTGGATAAAGGCTGTGTTGAGAGGAAGAACTTATAAGACACATGTTTGGCTTTTTTTGTTTGTTTTTTCAGGAGAAGTACAACGCCCATTTATTTGGGTAATAGCATCAATACAACAATATTAAAATAATAATCTTTTTGAACTAAAAACACAAAAGCAAAAATTACAATCTAAGACGCCTCACTGAAAACTGAGGAAATTTCATGGAAATTATCTTCAAGACACATATCTGATTAAAAAATCCCTACTGTGTCACAGATTACAAATGATTTGCAGTTTTTCCATGAATGCACAACTCATCCTAAGAGCTGCTCTCTTTTGCGAAAAAGAATAAAAAAACGAAATAATTTAACAGGATCTGCAGGTAATTGGTGTCAAAAAATCATAAAAACTGAAGGGTAGTCAAATGCCTTTGTTCTCCAAAAAGAACATTACAGCAAACCTGCCACTGAACACAAGGATAAAAACCGTGCCTAAAGGAATGTGCTCTTGATGATGGATCAAAGTCATTGGCCAACAAATATTTGTACAATATTTGTTTGTTGTTGACCAATGCCAGCTATGAAAAGAACCTTATAAAGGCATGGTCTTGTCCCCATACCCTCAGGAGCCAGTCAGGTTGTAGTTATTGATTCAGCAATGTATTCTGCACAACATCAAAAAGTGCTGAAAGACAACATGATCACAACCAAACCGAAAGTTGAAACGGAACTCAAGTTGAACTTCCACTGACGACTGGTTCAAGAATGGAGAAATGGTCAATAGTTATGGACAGGTTTACAAGGGACAACTCGTAAATCAGTGCCAACATCAATGTCCAAACTCTTCTGTGCTCCTGGAAAAATGGTCAAAAACTTCTATAAACAAACTCTTAAACCTTGTGGAAAGGAATGGGCTGAAATCGGATTAGACCCAATGTATTAAGAATGGGATGTCACTCAATTTCATTTGCATGGAAAGCCCTCTGTAAAGCCCTTTGACTTACCTTGTGTTTGAATAGCACTATACAAATGAATCTGACTCAACTTGATCCCTCTGGTGGAATAGAAATTCAGAGTTCAATTGTCTTTCTATTTTGCACACACAAACAAAATAAATAAATAAGCGTAAATTTAGCCACCGACGGGTAGGGGAAAAACAAAACAAACAAACAAAAAAATCATGTTTCCAGAAGACAATATGATAAATGGCATGCTGAGTGAATATACCTTCTGTTTTGATCACAGTCAGCAGTTTGCTTTGGGCTTATTGGCTATTTTGCTGACAGCGATACAGCAATTTGGAAATGAAATCATCAAGCATTTGCTACAAATTTTTAAAAAGCATCACTGTCTAGCTTTGGCAGTAGGAGAAACTGAACACAGCCTCGACAGCAGTTTGTCACAGCCGAGTTTCCAGCCCTTTGAGCGCCCCGCTTAACCTAGTCCGTCTGTCTATAGACGTCAGAGTGGTCATGGTGGTGGGCTGAAAGACAGCGCAGAGATCTACACTCGCTACACATGCTGTACATGTTTCAAGCCTGTAACAGACAGAAATGCGGAGGTTAGGTGGGGGTTACCTCCGCCTGGGCCGCCCGCATCATGTTCTCCTGTTTCTGCAGGATGGCATTCATACGCTCAAAGAACTCCACGCTCTCCTCTGAAATCCTGCCAAGTAGACGGAGCACATTGAAAATCGATTATCTCTAAAGATAGAGAGGGAAAATAAAAAAGTGAGTTGAAATGCATGTTGTACTCTGTTATACACCCACACAATCTGATCAACCTAAATTATTTATGGATGGTAATTACAGCAGGATTCAGTGACATTTGTGGGATCACACAGCATCCTGTTTGCAGACACTTTGAAGAAGCATCTGTCAATAAAGAGGATCTTTTTCTTTTAATGTTGAACTACTGGACTCCATCGCCTACCGTTCAGCTTTTTATTACTTATCAAACACCCTCTTGTCCCAAGCTTAAAAAAAGAAAAAGTCAGCATGTCTGCACCCTGCATGAACCATGTTAATCTGCTATGAGCCGGGCTGTGTGCAAAATGCAAATGATGTTTCTGTTTCCTCCAGGTGTGAGTGAATCCCCGGACTCCCGCCAGCCCCAGTTGTCATGGTGATTCGGGCACATTCACTGAGCTGGCTGAACACCTTGGGAATCCCCACCACCACCACCACCACCACCACTTACACCCCATCTCTCCCAGTATCGTCCAAATCTCTCTAGGGGGAATCTTCCCCTCAGCCTTTATGGAATTCACAGACACCGGCAGCCACTCTTATGTGAGCTGTAGCGGAACCATCAGGATCAGCCATGCCGTCTGCCTTTAACTTCTCACCTCCACCACCTAACCCTACCATCACATCTACCTCTTTTCTTATCCTGGCATACTTTGAAAGAACTGTCCACAGAGGCCCTGACACACTCCTTTATTAGCATCCCAGCATCCCACATCCCAGCACTTACTGAATATCACAGTGGTGGGGCAGCAGATGGTAAACCCATGAGGTTTTTAATGGATACTAATTGCTGCCATGCTGGGTGAGTTGGTGAAGTTTCCACTGGGGTGAGGCCCAGCTGAACTGGAAAAGTGAAAGTTTCCTTGGGTAAACTTTTATAATCATATCAGAGTCACTAAAACATTCATTTTAACATAACACTCATGCATGGCTATAACTATACCACATAGTGTTTTTTTATGGGTTTATAATTGTGAACAGGGATAAAGAGAAAAACACTGCATTGCAATGGTATTTGATTTATCTTTGAGTGTCATGCCTTTGGTATACCCCCCCCCCCCAAAAAAAAAAAGAAAAAAAAGAAAAGTGAGGTGTACAGCTTGACAGTGAGGTCAGTCCTCCCAATATCAGTGTCTAATGTTAGGCCTTCAGTGGTTGTTTTTTTTAATCTACAGCCAAGAAACCATTTTACCAAAGCAGTTTATTGGCATGATGCCATTTCATCTGACTCTGTTTGTAAAATTGATGGAGTTAGAAATCTTTTTTGTAGGTAAGTGACAGCTTATAGATATTTGGAGGGAATAAATCATGTATGAATATTTTCTAAAGAGTATTTTCTTCATTGCAGTTTCAACCCATAAAAAGTCGACAACTCATTTCAGGTGACTGAGCCATTGCAGCCTTACTGGTCATTATGGCAGGATTCACATGGCTGTATTTCAGGCTTCAGTGTTCTCACTTCTTGTCACTTTGAGTTGGTGATGTCATGCATTGCTGAAATGAATTTCTCTTTTCTTACGCTACACATGGCGAAAGTCAAGAGAAATTCAACTTCTGAAGTGCCAGCATGGCTGTTAGTCAATTAAATTTTTTATGCAAATATCCTGAGAGCATGAATTGGCCCGTCTGTTTATTTTTTTATAGGAGTAATTGATCATTGCAGTGAATAATCAAGCTGCTGGATATAAACAAAGTTAGTAACAAGCATTAGCTAGCTTGGCTAATGGTAACATTAGTCAAAGCCCTGCTAGCTAGTCTTTTGATAACTGGTTATAGTTGCTATTACAATTGCCCTAGTAAAGATATCCTGACCTCAAAATTCTGGAAAGCCTGAATCCTCTGTGAATCTTGCCTTAGTGATTTGATCCCCAACTAATCTAATCTGAAGTTTCTTTGGGTCAGATACTAAAACCCAAATTTCCCTCAAAACATCCCCAAAATAAAAATAAAACTTAAAAAAAAAAACCCAACCTTTTTGAATATGTTTGGAACTTGTTGAATGTCCATTAGTCAGTAAGACTAGCTAAGCATTATTTAATGTTTACTCAATAAAAAATTCGACACTCAAACTTGCTTCAGGATTTCTTGCCTATTCCCATCAAAAATCCCAAAACAAATGGTATCTTCTTTTGTCTAAGTGACATTTCAACAACAACAAAAAAATCCAGCAATTACGTGATAACCAGGACAGCTGCTAAATTTGCTCTACATTAAAACAGTTCTGAATAAAACCCATAGCTATACTTTTCAACCACCCTCCTGCATTATACAGAAAATAAAACCACAGCTGTTTTTCGTAAGTAAACCTCCTCAGACAGCATTTGAAAGAAACCCCCAAACCGAGTCTGTCAAAGACAAAGCCTGTTCCACTAACAAGGGATTGGGAGCTTTGTTTCACGGAGCTTCAGTTTTCATTTGCACAAATAGTACAAATAAGCTTCATTCCACACTAAGACTTGTGTTTAGAGACACTCGGTTCTCTCCACATCCGGGTTGAATTGCCCAGAGTATTTTTGTATCCAGAAATCTGTCCCATCTTTTGTCAGTCAGCTTGAGGATTTGTCCAAACAGTCTGGGATACTTTTTTTTCTTTCTGGGGGCTTGGGACAACATGTTCATGGGAAGCAGTACAGCACAAATGATGCAAATCAAGTCCATTTTAACATGATACATCAAAAAGATATATTAAAGATGTATTAAGTTAAATCGTTCTCTCCATCTCTCATCCACACACACACACACACACACACACACACACACACACACACACACACACACACACACACACATACACGCACGCTACCAGAATAACAAACTGATTTGATGTTGCTAGGAAACAGGTCCCTTTTTTTAAAACCTCATTTTATTGTAATTTATTTTCCGAATTCATTCAAATGCTTCAATTATGATTTCCTGTCTGGAGAGTAAATCAGAAGGAAAACAAATAAAAACAAGAATGTCTTCTGTCTAAAAGAATATCTCAGAATAAACCTGAACTGACTGAGAGTGCGAAGATGACAGAAGCCCTTCACTTCAAACCCCAATACATGATGGCAGTGCATACATAGTAATTAATATTGCAGACATCGCTGTCATCTGCGTCATCTTCTAGTAAAGTTAAATGTTGTTTTATTTATTTATTTATTTTTAATCTAATTCCTTATGGATGTCAATCCATAATATAAGCCTGTGGCTCCAATCATAAACTGAGATCTCTATGACAAGGAACCCCTCAAAACAACACAGAAGACTGTTTGTTATACTCTAATTACACATTTGATTAAGCAGCAAAACATTACAGGTGGAAGGCTTCAGCGCGGAGATAAAATCACAAAAGCTCTGATTGAATCTTTCCATTCAATACCGTGGAAGAATCTGCAGTCGCTCATGCAGCCAGTGGTACTGACAGACATAAAAGTAGCCTGGTGTGAAATTATTTCCAACTCAAGACTTCTTGGTTGCTTCCCAGTTGCGTTTCACAGTTTTTACTTTCTCATTCCGTGGGTCAGTGGCTGACTGTGGATCTGACATATTTTAAAACAGACCACTGTCAGGTTTAAAGTAAAGGTTTGGCATGCCTTCTGAAAACAAAAGCAGTGTCAACAAGAAATCTGACACAAAGACACAATTAAAGGATTGCTGAGGTGAAAGACAATTCTCCTGGATACTTTGAGTAAATGGCTATTCCTTCCTTCAACTTTTTCCCCACTTATCACATACTGTTTTCACAATTTTAAGTAAGATGTGCCCCCTCAGAGCTCTTTGAGCATGCACAATCTTATTCTTCTTTTGACGGCTCGCTTTAGGGGTCATTACAGCGGATCATTTGCCTTCATCTAACTATGTCTTAGTATCCTCTTCTGTCACACTAACTCTCTGCTTGTCTTGCTTCATTACATCCACAAATCTTCTAGGGTGGTCTTTCTCTTTTCTCCTGTCTGGCAGCTCTATATTTAACATCATTTGCCCAGTATATCCACTATGCTTCCACTGTATGTCCAAACCATCTCAGAATTTTATCGTCACCTTTGTCTCTGAATGTCTCAACTTCAGCTTTCCCTCTGATATACTTGTTTATAATTCTATCCATTCTCGTCACCCAAATGATAATCTTAGCATCTGCATCTCTGCCACGTCCTGCTTTGCGTCATGTCTTCTTGTTAGTGCTAGTGTCCCCAGGCCATGCATCACAGCATGTCTCATTACCATGAAGAATAGCGCATCACTATAACATTTCAAATGTTGTAAAAATGTGTGGGACCACTTTGTTTTTTTACACGTTTATTTTTGTGTTTGATTTGTCTTCTCTGTTGTTATTTGGTTATTTTTAAGGGGAAAAAAATGCAATTTAATGCATTTAGGCATGGAGACATGGTTAAGGCTACCGACTGAAGATCAAACCCAAAATTAGCATTGGGATAACAGGTCATTTAATAAATGACTTTGAATGTGGCAAGATTGTTGTTGAAGACAGGCTTGTCGGTGTTTTTTTCCCACACCACCATCTCTAGGATTTACAGAGAATGGTCTCCAAAAGGGAAAATATCTACTGGTCTGCAGTGAAAGAGAAAATGCCTTGTTGATGCCAGAGTTCAGAGAAGAATGGCCAGTCTGCTTTGGATAGCCAATATTAACTCAAACATAATGTTGAATCTGGAAGCAGATGGGCTATAGTGGCAGAAGACCACACTGTGTCACTCCTATCAGCTAGGAACAAGAAGGTGAGGCTGACATTCAAAAGTGGACAAAAGAACTTTGGAAAAACATGATGCGGTCTGATGAGTATCAGAGCAGATCACCCCTTTTATCTTCAAAAATTAAGGATGTTTTGAGGGTAAAAGGGAGTCCAGCCCAGTATTAGCAAGTTTTACCAAATAAAGTGGCCAGTGAGGGTATACAACATTAACCAGGAAATCT